TCTTGTGTCAGAACTCAGGTGAAAAAAAAGAGAGTGAAACTGAGATGCTTTATGAATGTTTATGCAAAATCTCTATGAAGTATGAACCCATAACTGAAATGTCAAACAAGCAACAAAACCAGGATGGTAAAACCGTGATCATGTACGAAAGGTCGAAGCTTGCGGTAATCAGAAAGCAAGACTAGAACATCATTTCTTACCGGTATCGAGCAACGATGGTTTCACGACTGAAGAAACATTCGAAAGAGAGAAATTTTCTATAAACACATTCCATTTAACAGTCTTCAACAAAGTCTGAATTCGCGGAAAAAAAAACACAAAAGCACAATGACAACAGAGAAACAGTTTTAAGAACATCAAACAGTAACCAAACAAAGCAAAAGCAATGATAGAGAAGAGAAATCAGCAAATAATTTGTGAAAACAGAGAGATAGATGGTTCCTATGGAAACCGAAAGAAACTCAAAGCAAACGGACGTTTTTTCTCTTCATGGCATCATTGTAAGCTTAGCATCGAACACAAACCCGCGACACAAACCATCTGCGTAACCAGGTACACCATCGATCCATCTCCATCCTTCCCAACAATCCCACATTGCAAGCTTCCCCATCCTTTTCGCCGAGAAATAAACCCTATCTCCACCTCCAAAAACTTTAAACTTACTCGATTCTTGAAAACCTCTATACATATCAAGAGGCATTCTACCTGCTTCTTCCCATTCCAAGCTCTCTAAATCAAGCCTAAGTATCAGTATCGTCGAACAAGCCGGATTCAACGAAAACGTCGATTTCAATCCACCGATCATAAGCAGCTTCGAATCGCCATTCCCTCTCAACAATCTTGGTCTTTTGATGATATCAAAGATATCTCCCCATTCATGTTTCTCCAAACAAACCCAATTGGTATGAGTGATTGTGAGATTCGTCAATTTACATGAGAAAAGCTTCCATTGACTTCTCCATGGAGATCCAACATCGCACAAGGCGAAAACAGAGCTAGACATTAACACAGGACTTCTAGGTTTCGATGGTAAATTCGATGAGAATTTCAGCCACTGGTTAGCAATCACCGTACCTGAGTAATACAACGCCGCGAGCTCCGTGAGAACCATGACTCGATTCACCGAATCAACGAGAACAGTACCGTGTCGTGACCAAGCAGAGCCCAGCTGAGGCAAAACCTTAAACTGTCGAGTCAACGGATTACAAGCGACGAGCGATTTGCTAGACTCAGACGAGTCGATCGAGTCTCCCCAGAGGTAGATCAATCCGCTTGAAGACGCTACAGGCTGAGGCAATCGAAAAGGGAGAAAATCGAGATTGAATCTGAACCATTGATTCTGCTCTGGATCGTATACATGGATATACGGACGGATATTCGCCGTCGTTTGACCTCCGTGACGGTGGCTGTGGTGATGAGGAGGTCGGAGAGCGAGTAGATTCAACGGAGGACGAGTGGAAATGATCTCCGTGAAGCACTGAGAGGTTAAGAGCTGGTTAAAGAACTTGCAAACGGATCTGCAGACCATGATCTGACGGAGAGGAAGAGAAGAGAAGATCTGGTGGAGAGAATCCGGAGGAAGACGATTGATTGGCGACGACTCCATGGTTTCTCCTTCACGTTCGGTTGCGGCGGCGACGGAGAACGGACACCGTGAATTCGAAAAAGGGTAAAATCGGGATTTGTTAGAGATGCGTTGTCATTGGTTGCGAATTTGGGTATTGGAAAATGGGAGAGTGGTGAAGAGAAAGGGAATATTTTTTTTTATAGTTCCCTTTTTGTCCCTTGCTTAATGGGCTGACTCACCTACTTGTCTTGTTCTCATTGAACATTTTTCTTAGACTAATTATATTTTTTTTCTTTATTGTTTATAACTCTAGAGAGCGATTCTAAAAATCGAAGAAATTTTTTCAATAATTTGCAGAGTAATATGAACAAATATATTATTGAAAATATAGTTTCACAGCTACATTATTATTAATTGTAAGAATAGAATGAAAAATCCAAGTTGCTAATTGTCGGCTTCTTTAACATAAGACTAGATTTTGACTCACACCAAACGTGGGATTAAATATGTTTTCTAATCGATTTTAATATCTAAATGGGTATTCCAATATTTATAAACGTACAAAAATGATATGTATTGTACATAAATGTCATAAAATTAAATTTTTATCAAGCATACTTTGATGTTATATGTTTTGATCAATTTTGCATAAAGTATTAAAACTAATGCA